GGGTGTGACATCTGAAACCCTAGACTCGCGGAATAGAGGTTTTTGTGAGCATAGTGAGGAACAACTGAATCGGAATTGAAGCTCGCGGGAGTGATAAAACGCTGCGTCTGGATCGAGATCGCGTGAATGGCTGGATCTAATTGGAATATTGGAAAGTTTTAATCTTTTGCCAGAACAAAGAATGGTGTCGTGGAGTTGTGACACGGTAATGTTTGTAGATGAAGAAAATTTTGTCATACGGGGGTATTTTTGCACAATGGTCCCTCAGTTTCTGTATTTTGCACCTGAGTCCAAGATATTTCTATATTTCCAACTGATATCTAAGGACCAAAGAGAAAAAAAGATTTTCATCTCAGTTCACCATCTCTCTGCAACTATATCAATTCCTTCAAATAAATATTTTCTTCATTTTCTGTTCTTTAGTTTAATTATATATAATAGTTATTCAAAACATTTACTAATCAAATAATTATTTAAAATTTTGAAAAATGAAATGGGATACCAAAAGAAGGAATTGAGCTTGAAGGGGTGGGATTTTGTTGTCATTAATTTGAATATCCGTCATAAGGATGAAATTTTGGGAAAATTTTGTAAAGGCGTAGTTGTGAGGTTTGGACGGGAGACGAAAGAGGGTTGTGTTGTGGGTATGGAGAGAGAAGGAATGAGAGTTGCAATCAACTAGAGATCTGGAAAGTGACCGGATACTGAAATTCTCACCACAATAAAAAAAATCAAGAAGGGATGCCTCTGCGATAAGTGGAGGCTCGGCTGTTGTGACAACCCGTTCTGGAATTTTCGAACCTAAGGGTGAAATGACGATTTTTCCCCTAGTATGACTTTTCGTTGTGTGGTTGTTGTGGATTTTTGTTGGCAGGTTGTGGACCACACACACACTCCCCCACACTTCCCTCACCCATTCCCTGCCCTACACCCTTGTCCCGAGTTCCCTCTCTCCTCCATTTCCTATTCCATTTGTACGGACACACCAAGAAACCCTTCAAATCTTCACAGATCGAGGAAACAAAGTACATATTCATGCTCGTGAGGTTCGTAGGAGTTCAACCATACCCATTTCAGGTAAAGATACCTTCGTTTTCACGTCGAACTCGGGATACCCCGATTTTGTCACTATTCATGCACACGTTAATTCTTGTGTTTTTGGGAATTTCAAGCTTGTAGGAAGCTTGATGAGGTCCTTAGGAGGCTTGGGGTGGTTCGTTTGAAGGTTTTGGACGTCGGGATCGTGAGTTTCAAGGTTGGCAGGAGTTGGTGGAGTTTTCCCGGCGAGATTCCATGGATTTTAGTGCTTGAAAGTGGCATGGATTTGTTCCTCTCGTTGTAAGCTTCATTTTGGTACCAATTTTGTGAAATTTGGTTGAAAAACGAAGAAGATATGAAAATTTGAAGTTTTCACGATTTTTCGGCGCCAGCGACGGCATCGGAGCCTCGCCGGAGAAGACGACGGAATATTCCGTCAGTTTGGACGGAATATTCCTAACAGCGTTGACGGAATCCGTTAAAGTTAACGGAATATTCCTGACGGCGTTAACTGACGCCGTCAGCGTGCCAGGCATGTGCCTGCACGTGGCTGGCGCGTGGGGGCACGTGCGATAGTGGAAATTTTTTCTAAAAATATAGGGATGTTCCTGAGGTTGAGTAGATCACGTTGGTGTATTCATACACCCCATTTAAGCTTTGTATGGGAAGTTATTTCATAACGTTGGTTATGTGCTTTAAAATTAACGTTTTTATAGTTGTTTCGCATATAGGTGAGACCTATCCCGAGAACAAGCGTGGTCACTCGAGGCAAGGGGGTTACGACCCATCTACATACCAGTGAGTGGGCTTTTGGTTTTCCGTATATAGAACCTATATACTCATGTTTTTCCCAGAAAATGAATTGAAACGTTATATGTTTTTATGCCATGCATTATGTTTGCCGTTTGTTTATTCATTGTTAGTAGCCTCTATATATATATATATATATGTATGTATGTATGTTGGTGTTGCGGGCGCACAGGTAAGTGTCAGGTGAGTATGGTTTATGCTTATTTTCAGTAGCGGTTTGAGATGCATAGAGAGCTCATAACCTGCACCCCCGATGTTAGTGCTCCCGCCCAGAGTTGGCCACAGTCATTCACGTGATGTTCACCTCCCACACCACACGCTCATCTTGGATCCAAGTTAGGTGCACAGTCATGTCGTACAAACCACTTTAGGTGGTTCCGACTCGTAGGTGACCAACGATTAGTCACCCAGCCTTCACGTGATCATAGCACTTGAGCGTACTATTTATACACCCAGTCCTGTCGTACAGACCACTTTAGGTGGTTCCGACTCATGTGCAGGTATAGTTAGTGAGATGGAGATTTGAGCTCTAGATTCAGCCGTACAGGTCACATTAGGTGACTCCGGCTGATAGCTTACATAGCATTGATTTTGACATTTCCTGAGCACTTGCATATATTCGAGGCATTTGGGCATGGCATATTTTCCAAGCATGATTATATATATGTATATTATGTTTCTGGGAAGTATACAGGTTTTATGGCGAGGGGTTAGAACTTATTTATGAAATGGTTTTTGAAAAGCTTTGTTTTTGCCCACTCACACTTTTGTTTTGCGCCCCTCCAGATTCTAGTTGGCTAGCACTTCTGGTGGTTCCCCAGAGGATTTCCGCGGCATATCTGACAGATTGTCACCAGTGTAGGACTACCTTCGGATGTGTTTATGTAGTGTTGTTTCTCCCGGACTGCATTAGGTCTTCGTGCTCTAAACTTTATTTTTACATTTATGCTTGCACATGTATGTTATTATTTTGTGTAAAGCTGGTTTTCATTTATTTGTACATTTATAATTGTTATTTATTTAGCTTCCGCACTGTGCACATGGTTACGTCACTTCCACGTGACGGCCAACATGCCCTGATCTCGGTCGGGGTGTGTCAGTTTGGTATCGCCCAAGGGAGTGATCCTTATATGTATATTCTCATCTCTACCTAGCACGAGGCCTTTTGGGAGCTCACTGGTTTCAGGTTCCGTAGGAACTCCGAAGTTAAACGAGAAGGGGGCTAGAGCAATCCCATGATGGGTAACCCATTGGGAAATTGCTCGTGAGTTCCCAAAAACAAAACCGTAAGGGAATGGTAAGTCCAAAGCAGACAATATCGTGCTACGGTAGTGGAACGGGCCCAGGATGTGGTCTCACTCGGGTGGGGATGTGACAATTTGGTATCAGAGCCTAACCCTGGTTGCGTGTGTGCCGACGAGGACGTCGGGCCCCTAAAGGGGGTGGATTATAACATCTCACATCACCCAGGGGAGTGATCCTTATATGTATATTCCTATCTCTACCTAACATGAGGCATTTTGGGAGCTCACTGGCTTTGGATTCTGTAGGAACTCCGAAGTTAAGCGAGAAGGGGGCTAGAGCAATCTCATAATGGGTGACCCACTGGGAAGTTGCTCGTGAGTTCTCAAAAACAAAACCGTGAAGGAATGGTAAGCCCAAAACGGACAATATCGTGCTACAGTGGTGGAGCGGGCCCTAGAAGTGGTCCCGCCCAGGCGGGGATGTGACAATTTCTTGACCGAGATCGAGGTGTGTCAGCTGTCGTTATCAACACTCTAACATTTGTTCTTTTGAAAATTAAAAAAGATTTTACATATATGTTATAGGTTATTTTAAAACTAAAAGTAGGTGGAAAAATAACATTTTAAGTTTTTAACTTGTAGTGTGGGTGGAATTATATGGTGAGGAAATAAAATATTGGGGTTGATCTAGCAGAAGAAACAAAGATGGTCTGAAGCAGAAGAAGGGACACAAAATTAGTTTTATATTTTTTTTTTTCAATTTGAAGAAATTTTTTAACTATAGTTAAGAGACCAGTTAGTACTACGGTCTAGTGGTATTCCTCTTCACTTGTAAGTAAGAGGTTTTAGGTTTGATTATCGCAAAAGGCGAATTTGAACAAGGTTAAGCCCACCTCTTCTTAGTGTAGATAATATCATTTGTGTGGTTTGAAGAATCACCTGATTTGCTTAAGGATATTTTGTTCAAAAATGTTTCGTAGTTTGCTTATATATTATCATTTGAAGATATGTTATTTTGTTGTGCTAGACACTCTTTTCCTTTCAACCGGATTAAAATCTCGAACAAGATTTTATCAAAATCTATTGTGCACACTATATTCAGTTTGTACGCTTTCTAATTTGATTAACGAGCATAGTACATTCCTCAAAAAAAAAAAAAAATCGTTTAAAGAAATAAAAAAAAAATTATAAGAGATGCGACACGTGGCAGACTTTGAAATGAGTGGTTAGCATCCACCAATGTTAATCATGATGGCAGATCACATGACATCTTTCTATCTACGTGGGGTCCGCAGGTGACAAGTTTCACCACCCAGCAGGTAGAAGCGATGCAGACAATAATCTCTTGCTGCTTTACCTGTAGCTACTTAATTTGTTTGTTTCCGTTGCCACGTCACTATGTACGGTTATTAACATCCACTCGGTGCTGGCACCGCCTGCTAGTGCACTGTGATCACGCGCTCCTCTAACACGCCACGTGTTACGTGGACATAGCTATTGTCAAATACTAGACACTCTAGCGAGTAGTCAAACGCAATGACATTTCCGATATTTCAGGGAAAATGAGGCCCACTTTTTAAATCCGCAAAAAACCATGAAATCTGAACGGTCCATGTTTTTGGTACGAAATCCGACCGTCCATTTTCAGCTTCTTTGTCACGAAATTGCCATGTTGGCCGACGGTGATATAAATGGAACCACAGGAAGTGAATGCTCACCTCGGACGTGCCAATCGAACATCCCAGATTTCGCCACGTGTCGTTATCCAGAGGATTCGTATATTTTTCCATTTTGTGTTCCATTTTTTGGTTATTTTTGGATCAAAATCCTCAGTCTGGCGGTACCGAAGAAACCCTAGCTCTCTTTTCCGTCTCTTTACGGTTAAGAAAAAGGGGGAATTTTCAACCATTGTCGAAAATTAATTTCGAGAATTGGGGAATTACATTAGGGTTTCAAATCGGGAGGTGCTGATTCGAACCCTAATTCATGATTTGCGTTCGTGATCTTCGCGATTCATTCGAGGGACTGATGGTTCATATTCTGGCGGTTAAGGTACGCGTGCAATTGAGTTGATTAATCTGAAATTTGATGTGCTTTTTGTTGTTTTTACTGGAAATTATCTGAATGCGTTGGGGCATAGGGTGATCGTTTGATTTTGGTTTCTTATAGGGATTTTTGTCTTTTTTTTTGGGTTGTTTTTGGTGTAACAGATCTGAAAAATGTGTAGGGGCGTGTATGATGGAATGTGAAAATTTGGGTTCGTCGGTTTGGGTGGTTGGATTGAGGGGTTGTTGATGGAAAATAGAGTAGAGAACTCACATGGCACTGAAATTCCCGAAAAATCGAGATCTTTGGGTCTGGAGAGTTTGTATAAATCGAGAAGTAGGAAAGATGTCGAAAACAAGAGCTTGAAGAGAAAAGTTAGTGCCGAGGATGGTGATGAGAACGGGGGCAAGACAAAGAAGAGTAAGAAAGAGGCTTCTCTTAGTAGTTTGAAGAATGTTAATACTAGTAGCAAAAAGAGTTTAGATAAAGTGTATCATAGCGGGTTGAATTCTGGTTCACATGATCCAGAGTCATGGAAATCTGGGTCGAGTGATAGATTGGATAGCAGTAGTGGGTTGAATGGTGTTTCGTCGCTTAGTTTGAATAATAAGGTTATTCAAATCCCGAGGCGTAAACGGGGTTTTCTAGTGAGGAAGAAATTTGATGGTGGTCAGGCACCGAAGCTGCCAGATGAATCTGCTGGTAAAGTGGGTGTCGTTGATCAGACTCATCAGATAGCCAAGTTAAATGGTGATGATTTAGGTACTCAATCTGAGTCCTTGAAAGTTAAACGAAAGAAGGGTCGGCATGATTTCAAAGAAAACATAAATAATGAGTTGAATTCAGCACCACATGCTAAGAAAGAAGACGTTCCTACAAGTTATTCGGCTGTAAGCAATGGTGATTCATCTTTGAAGAAGTCTCGGAGGAATCGTAGGAAGAGGAAGGAGTTGGCACCTGACAGTAAAAGCTCCGAAAAGGAAGCTGAGCCTTTGGTTGATAGTTCTATGAAAAAAGGCCATGATATACAAGAAGATGATGAGGAGAATCTTGAACAGAATGCAGCAAGGATGCTTTCATCAAGGTTTGATCCCAGCTGCACTGGGTTTTCTTCAAACGACAAGGCTTCTGCAAATGGGTTGTCTTTTTTGTTGTCTTCTGGACAGGATTTTGATAGCCATAGGTCAAAGTCTATTTCTGGATCAGAATCTCCTTCGGTTGACAATTCTGGTAGAGTATTGAGGCCGAGGAAACAACATGATGAAAAGGGGCATTCGCGGAAAAGGCGCCATTTCTATGAAGTTTTCTTTGGGAACTTGGATGCTTACTGGGTATTGAACCGGAGAATCAAAGTCTTCTGGCCTTTAGACCAAAGTTGGTACTATGGTCTTATTAATGACTATGACAAGGAAAAAAAACTTCATCATGTGAAATACGATGATCGTGACGAAGAATGGGTTGACCTTCAAAATGAGAGGTTCAAGCTCTTGTTACTCCCTAGTGAAGTTCCCGGTAGGACAGAGCGGAAAAAATCAAAGGTGCGGAATAGAAGTCCCGATGAGAGAAAAGGAGACATGAAATGCAGAAAAGAAATGAAAAAAAGAGAATTGACTTTGGGGGATGATAGTGGCATTGGCAGCTATATAGACACTGAACCCATTATTTCATGGTTGGCACGATCTACGGGTCGGGTCAAGTCTCCTTCCCGTGTTGTGAAGAAGCAAAAAACATCTGGTCTATCTTTAAAGCCTGTGCCACTATTGTCTGATGAAGATGCCACTTTACATGAATCTTTGGGTGACTGCTCCTTTAAAAGGGATAAAAAAATTTCTCGCCATCCTGGCAGATCATCTGATGATGTGATGCCAGAAAAGCCTACCTCACAAGGCAGCACTGCCTCCAAAGATAGCAAAATGCCTATTGTTTATGTTCGAAGGCGGCTTCGGAAGAATGAGTCTGAATTGTCTCATACATCCAAGGATGACCATGACTCTGCGAGTAAACTTGGGTCACTATATGATTTCTTGGGAAGCTTGGATGCCAATGGACCATTGTGGTCTATTGATGATGTAGGACTGCTGAAATTAACTCCTCCACGGATAGAACCAGGAAGAGTTACTTTTGAGTTAGGCCTTCCAGTGCATTCAATTATTAATGATTCCTTTAGAGTAGAGTTTTGGTTGTTTCGTGCCACAATGCTGCGTCAGTATGGTGCAGTGGTGATTTCATGGCCAAAGGTTTATTTGGAGATGCTTTTTGTTGACAATGTAGTTGGACTGAGATTTCTCCTGTTTGAAGGTTGCTTGAAGCAGGCTGTGGCCTTCGTTTTTCTTGTCCTGTCATTGTTTCATCAACCTAATGAGCAGGGGAAGTTTATTGATTTCCAGTTACCAGCAACTTCAATCAGGTTTAAATTCTCCAGTGTTCAGCATCTTGGGAAGCAACTTGTGTTTGCATTCTACAACTTTTCTGAAGTAAAGAATTCAAAGTGGAAGTACCTAGACTCTAAACTTACGAGCCATTGTTTGCTTACCAAGAAACTGCCCCCGTCTGAATGCACCTATGATAGTATTAAAGCACTTAAAAATGGAAGAAATCAGTCACCTTTTATGTCTCTTTGCGGGAATTCCTCCTTTGTCAAGGTATTTGTCTTATGTTCTCTACATTTCTGAATATAATTTGTGGTTCTAACTGAATTTTTTTCCGTCTTCTGTATTGTGTAGAATTATATTATTCTTCAATGTCTTTGTATTATGAAGGTATTCACTTCCATAATTTTTTCATCAACCAGGGTACACAGAGTAGGCCCAGGCAGGGTATTAACTTCAAGGGGAGTTTCAGGGAATCTATATCTGTAAATAGTAGTCATTCTACTTCTCGTGATGATGAGCTCTGCAGAAAACTTCCTCCACTTGCCCTCTCTTTTGCTGCTGCACCTACTTTCTTCATTAGTTTGCATCTTAAGCTGCTAATGGAAAATTGTGTTGCTAATATCTGTTTTCGGGACCGTGATTCAGTGGAGCATGTCGAAAACTGTGACAATATGTTGGCAGTTGACTGGTCTGTGGTCAAGGACTTTATTAATGGAGGTTCGAAGATTACTCCTGAGAAAAATTTGAAGGCTCCACCAAGTAATGCTACTTCTGGTGGATCCTGTGCCAAGCCAGATGCAGACAATGCTATTTCTGTATGCCATGGAACTCAGACAAAGTCATCTCAGCATTTCCAAAATGGCAGTCTTGATGTTTCTGTATCCTCTGATGGTACTGGTGTCCTTGAAAAGACTGGAACAGATAAAGCTGTACAGTTGAAAGCGTTGCAAAGCCATCATCCAGAGTCAGATCAATGTTCTTTATCCCCAAGGCCTTTGGTTGGTAGAGACAAGTCTGACACTGATTCCCAATCTTTTCCGAATGGTCTCACTGTCGAAATTCCATCATTTGACCGATATGAGAAGCCTGTGGATAGGGAGGTGCAAAGTGCTCAACAGCCTACAGAATTTTCTTGGAATATGAGTGGTAGCATTATTCCCAGCTCTAACCCCACTGCTCCCAGAAGTACAGGGCACCGAAATAGAAATAGTTCATCACTTGGACACCTCTCAAATAGTTGGACAGATGGAAAAGCTGACCTTTTCCATAATGGTTTTGGCAGTGGACCAAAGAAGCCCCGAACTCAGGTGTCCTATACATTGCCTTATGGAGGTTTTGACTTTAGTTCGAAGCAAAGAAACCTCCAGAAGGGGCTTTCTCATAAACGAATCAGGAGGGCTAATAATGAGAAGAGGTCATCAGATGCTTCTAGAGGTTCCCAAAGAAATTTGGAACTCTTATCATGCGAAGCAAATGTGTTAGTCAATGGCAGTGACAGAGGGTGGAGGGAGTGTGGGGCCCATGTTGTATTAGAGCTTTTTGATCATAATGAGTGGAAGCTTGCTGTAAAAATTTCAGGGATTACAAAGTACTCATACAAAGCACATCAATTTTTGCAGCCTGGGACAACAAACCGCTACACTCATGCTATGATGTGGAAAGGAGGAAAGGACTGGAATTGGGGTTTAGAGTTTCCAGATAGGAGTCAGTGGGCACTATTTAGGGAGATGCATGAAGAGTGTTACAATCGGAATATCCGCTCTGCTTCAGTAAAAAACATTCCTATTCCTGGTGTCCGCTTAATTGAAGAAAGTGATGATAATTCAATTGAAATATCATTTCTTCGCAGTTCTGCAAAGTACTTCCGGCAAATAGAAACTGATGTTGAAATGGCTTTGGATCCATCTCGGGTATTGTATGATATGGATAGTGATGATGAGCAGTGGATTTTGAAGTTTCAAATTTCTTCTGAAGTTCACAACAGTAGCTCAACAGAGATTGACGAGGAGATGTTTGAGAAAACAATGGACATGTTTGAAAAGGCTGCATATGATCAACAGTGTGATGAGTTCACATCTGAAGAAATAGAAGAGCTCATGGCTGGTGCTGGGCCCATGGATGTGATTTTATCCATTTATGAGCATTGGCTACAGAAAAGGCAGAGGAAGGGAATGCCTTTAATCCGACATCTTCAGGTACATATTCTTTCTTAATGGGTCTTTTTGGTTTTACTGAAAATATACACCCCCCCCCCCCTCCCCTCTTCTCTCCCCCCCTTCTCTCTTTCTCCTTCTTTTTACCGTAACTCTTATGTAATTTGAAACCCAAATTATGGATTTTTTGGGGGGTTGGATGCTTATGTCTATTACTTCTTGGCCGTGTTTGAATGTTTGTTTCTTTTCCTTGTGGAAAGGTCATCTGTCTTTTTGTTCATCTGATGCATTACATAAAATTTATTTTTCCCTTTGCAGCCACCATCATGGGAAAGGTATCAACAAGAAGTAAAAGAGTGGGAGCAAGCTATGATCAAAACCAATACCGCCCTCCCCAATGGATGCTACGGGAAACCTGCATCAGTTGAGAAGCCACCAATGTTTGCTTTTTGTCTGAAACCACGGGGACTAGAAGTTCCCAACAAGGGATCAAAACAACGGTCACAGAAGAAATTTTCGCTTTCTGGACATAATGGTGCCATGTTAGGAGATCACGATGGTTTCCATGCTATTGGTAATTTTCTTTAGCCTTATTTAGTATGTTTAATTGAAATCTTTACGCTACATTTATTTTGTTTAACTAATTTCTTCTGGAAGCATTTTTTCTTAATTAGGTTTTATTTCTTCTCTCAGGAAGAAGATCAAATGGGTTTGCTTTTGGTGATGAAAGGCTGGCACATCCAGGCCATAACTATGACTCTTTAGACGACTCCCCCTTATCTCAGACATCACCTGGGGTATTTTCACCAAGGGATGCAGCTAACATCTTGGTGAGCAATGATGGGTTTGAGAGAAATCATCTCCGCAGAATTCATAGAAGCAAGTCAACGAAATTTGCGAGGACAGTATCTTATGTTGCCCCCCAGATGGTGTCTTCATACAGTCCTAGAGTCGTAGGAAACAGAAATGAATTTCATCGATGGAATGCAGATATCCCTGATTGGTCAAGCCAGCGTTATTATCAACCAGAAGTGTCTCCGAGGCATGGCATGGGACTGTTGGATGATTCTGATCTTGATGAGTTCAGACTGCGTGATGCATCTGGTGCCGCTCAACATGCACATAAAATGGCAAGGCTCAAGAGAGAGAGAGCTCAGAGATTGTTTTACAGAGCAGATCTAGCAATACACAGGGCTGTGGTTTCTCTCATGACCGCGGAAGCGATCAAAACTTCTTCTGAGGACTCCAGTGACGATGAAGAGTAGAACACCACAATTTAGAGTGAGATGATACAATGAAAATGCCAAATCCCTTTCAGCTTGCCATTCTGCAGCCCATAGAGACTACTACATGAGACTCCGACGGTGTTTTTGGTGGAATCGGTCTTGGTTCTGGTTGTACTTTGTCAATAGTGGTGGCTACTTTTTATTCGGTATTTTTTACGCAGATACCATAGAGAAATTCTGACATGAAAGCGTGAACAGCAAGAATGGGTTAGAACTCATTGCTTCGATGCTCGGATGCTTCAACTTCCTCTGATTCGTCAACGGGCGAGATTCTTTTACCAGCTTGAAGTCTGTTTGTCTGTCTGCTCACTTCAGCCATTGTTGTATCACCGATCATCATCGGCATCCTGCAGGTTAGGGAAGAAAAGGGTATATGAAATTTTGGCTGCCAATCTCAATGTACAGATCTTTTTTCGTTTTCCTCTGTTCTTTTCCCCCTTAACCTCCAGTTTTTTAAGCGTTCGGTATTAAAGGAGCAGTTTGCCCACATAATACAAGTACTGAAAGAAAGAAAGGAATATATGGCCTTTTGCTGTCAAACAATCTAGTTTTTTACTCGAGATACTACGCCTCGATGCAAACTAACGGCTAGTGGGGTGAAAAATCCCTTAATATTTACCCGTGCCGTTGCGGTAAAAGCTATAAAAGCCATAATTTCAACCGCACGGGTAGTAAAAAGAGTTTATTCCCTTACCAGAACAATAACAGTTATTGTTATATAACTCGAATGAAATGGATAATTTGTGTGATTTGGCCTTGATTTAATTTGCTAGAGTGTCGTGTTTCATTGCATGATCAAGCCAAGGTAAAAGAGTAGTGAGTGACAATTCAAAAGGCTAATCGCTTCTAACTCAAGTGATTAAGAGCATTTCTTCTTGTATCGAGCTCCTATTAATGATTTACCATCGTTGACGATATTGAAATGGTGATTATCCCCAAAATTTCTTCCAATAACGCAAAATGACTAGTCTAATGGTATAAAATAATGGTCCACACGTTTTATTTTTTAATTTGCTCAAGATTTGCGGCCAATGAAATGTTAATGGTTCCGACTTAGGTTTTTCCAAGTCTGCTAGAGCAGTGTTTTCTCTTTATGCACTTAAGTTTAAATCTCAGTTTTCGTAATTTAAATAAATTAGCCTAGAATTATCCTATAGTTTATGAAAGATAAGAAAAAGATTAATGGTTTAATTTGGGAGACTTGGAGGGCGTTTTTGGTAATAAAAAGAAATTTGAAACACCGTTGAAAAATCAGCAATGATTCAACGGCTATAATCGTTAAGCTGTAAGATCGGCAAATTTCACTCTCCCTTTGACCTCTTTCCTCCGCTGTCTCTCTAACCGACTTCCCACCAAAAATGTACGACTCTCAGCCTCTTCCGGTCATCATCCGCAACGCTTACTATCATCAATTTCTCTCTCGGTTCCCAATTTCTAGGGTTTCTTCTCTGCCCGCTTGTGGATGCAGACATAGATTCGAGTTGCTACACTGGTTATGTAATCAGGTTGGTTTTGAATTTCTGCATTTTTTTTTTTTTTGCTTCAATTCATCGGATTTTGATAACAATTGGAGGGAAAAACTGCTTTTTCATCTGTTTGGTTACTGAGAAAATGTAGGAGAAGTAAAGGAAGGTAATTGATGTTCGTGTAATAACATTTGCATTTGTTAAATTATTTTACTTCACTCCATTGCGTTTTGGTACCAATTGGAAGGAGAACTTGCTTTTCCATCTGTTTGGTTGCTGAGAAATAGTGGTAAAAGAAAAGGAAGGTAATTGATGTTCAGGTAATAACAGGTGCATTAAACCCTTTTGCTTCATTTGATCGGATTTTGATAACAATTGGAAGGATAAATTGCTTTTTCATCTGTTTGGCTGCTGAGAAAATGTAGGCGAAGTAAAAGAAGCAAATTGATGTTGATGTAATATATTGCATTGGTATGATAGGTTTAGTTGAAAAAGGAATCCATTATCTTTAAGAAAGTGTGCGTGTGTGAGAGAGAGAGGACATGGTATTTCAATTTATTTTCATCAAGGACATTTTAGGAAGATGACAATGTATTTTCTTCATGCTGAAATCGATATAATCTACCCTGATTAAATAATCAGGTTGGTTTTTCTCCCTGTGAGTTTCCATCAGCTTGATGAAAAAATTGAGGAAGAGAAAGTTAAGCTCATCGGTTGTCTTGGTTCTTGCAATAATTACTTCTCCATCTCTTCCTTCTGTTCAGGTTTCATAATTTTCTGAAAAATGAGAAAAGGGTTGAAGGAAGATGAGAAAAGCGAAAGAACAATTCGCAGTCTTTTAAAACTTCCCGAGAATAAAAGATGCATCAACTGCAATAGCTTGGTATGACATCTTCTTGTTATATTGTTCCCAAATACGTGAAAATACTGGCATCATTAATGGTTCTTCATCTGTAGCATTAAATCAGTAAAAGTAGAAAACACTGTATTTTTTAAGTTCTGCAAATTAATATTTGAAATCCACAAATGCATGCTCATGCGCTTAGGAAGATAAATAAGAATTTTCTTGCGGAAGTAAATATGAGTTTTTCCTTCAAACCTACTCCTACAAACAAATGATACTGGTTCAACGATTGTTTTAAAAATGTATTCTTTGTGCAGGGACCACAATATGTTTGCACGACCTTCTTGACATTTGTCTGTACAAAGTGTAGTGGAGTACAGTAAGTAGTCATATCTAGTTTTGATCATAAGTTTTGCATGGCATCGTTTTGATTTTGCATCCTCTCAGTGCTGACCAATTAAGATTTCAAATTGTCCAGTCGGGAGTTCACTCACCGAGTAAAATCAGTGTCAATGGCTAAATTTAATGCAGAAGAAGTTAGTGCACTTCAAGCAGGGGGAAATGAGGTGAGCACATACACTCATTCGTCTCACTATTATTCTTTCTCATCCACTATCTAACGTTCACCCTGAAACGTTCATTTACAGCGAGCAAGACAAATTTATTTTAAAGAATGGGATCCTCAGTACCATTCTTACCCTGATGCCGGGTATTTAAGCATGTAACTCTTTGATTAGTATGGAATACTTCATATCGGATGTTCTCTAATTCACATACTACTTTGCAGTAATCTTCATGGACTCAGGAGTTTTATAAAGCATGTATATGTTGATAGAAAATACACTGGCGAGAGGAGTGTCTACACTGGTGAGAGGAGTATCTACACTAGTGAGAGGAGTGGCAACAAGCTCCCAATGCTGCGATTGGTGAGCCTTTTCTTTTTTTTATAAGATTTTCCCATTCAATACATTTCTATTTCATATAGTTCTAATTTTTCCTTGTGGAAAGCTTGGTTATTCCTTATTTGCATACAATATCAACAGCAGCAAGCACAGACCTTATTTTAATTTTGATGCGAAGGCTCTTATTGGTTGCCTCTAGTTAAAAATTCTTATTTATTTAATACAGAGCACTGAGGAGTCTGATGAAAACCAGAAGGTTGGTGGACATCGTAGTGGATCCAGGAGCTTCCATGATGATGACAGGTTGGAACGGAGTTATAGTAATAGTCCAGGTGGAAGAAGTTTAAGATACTACTATGATGAGAGAAGAAGTCCTCGATATTCTCCAGAAAACTCAAGAAGTGGTGGTTTTATAAGAGCTCCTCTACGTTTTGAGATTGTTGATAACAGGATTCGGGGGGGAAAACGTGGATCCTCAAGTGGAGAATCCAAGGTCCAAAGCAGGATACCAGACAATAAGAAGACCGCAGAAGGGTCCCATTCTCCTGTTGTGGCCCCTGTTAGAGATAAACTACGAGAAAACGTGCCTCCTCCACAGGTTGGTGAAAGTTCCACAGCAAATCAGAAGGATACTGATGGTTCTGCTCATAATCAGGTGTGTTCCTGCTTACATTATGACTACAGGGTTTTTTTTATGTAGTTCTACACCAGGGGTTCTGTGTAAGTGATGTTCCAACAGTATCAAATCAGGAGATCCTGAGTCCAAATTCTTGCAATGCTGTCTTTCAATTTATTTTTGTGAGATCCATGCACCTGGGCACTTTAATGGCATATAATGGCCCAACATTACCAAAAAGTTTATCGAGCTTCATACTACTCTTTTGAACAGTTTTCAAGAAAAATATGCACTTATGTTTTTTTGGTTTTCTTTGTAGAAAACCAAATCTACTGGTGGCCATGATGGGAATGCGACCAAACAAAATATGGTAAGCTTGATTGATTTCAATACTGATTCCGAGCCCCCACATGCTACAGAATCACAATTGCAGCAAACACCTCCACCCAATGAGGATAACAACTGGGCCTCATTTGGATCATCTACAACGGAGAAGGCACCTCAAGTTCCAACTGCGGTTCCAAATGCAGACCCTCTGGAGTCTTTGCTATTTGAATTGTCAACTCCCTCATCTGTTCCTGTGAGTAATGCATCTGAGACACCACACAATGATGGTGCTCCGTCAACTGCATCTATAAACACCATGCCTGCAGGTGGTCATTCCCCAGCTGATGCAGGTCCTGTGCAAGATCTTGCTATTTTTGGTGGTGACACCACTGTAAAAGGTACTGATGAGAAGCAGTTAGTACTAAGTACACAGCAAGATCAATCTTCTATATCCTTCACCGCGGATAGCGGTTCTACTTCACATGTCAATTTTGCAGTTGGAGCTTCAAACGCTGAGGTAAGATGAGAATAGCTTTCTCTTTAATTAATTACTCTCAAAATTCATGAATGCGAGTAATAATTTTTAAATGTCTTATCTAGTTCGTGTTATTACCTTGTTGCTTAATGTACACATCTGCAGTTGAGGAACTTATCACTGGCACCAAGCATACAAAGATCTTTCAGTATTCCTGCTGAAAAATCATCTCAATCTATTTTGAATCCAGCTGAACATACCGACAGTGGCAGTGGAGCTGGATACCAAGTGGAAATGAATACTAGCGTGCGAATGGAACTCCCGGCAGTATGAAATTGTCTTATTTTCTTCATATTGATTGAAGATTCTAGTGAACTTGGACATTATTTGCTTCATGTATATACATTTTTTCGGCTAAAATGTTTCTTGATTGTCTTATGTTAAATTTTCTGCAGGACCTTTTTACTGCAAGTTACTCATCAGCCCCTGGACAATCTTCAGGCTGGCATATTGCTCCAGTTCAGGGAATGGGGTACAACATGCAGTATTACCCTACCGCGACGGTATATAATGCTTAAAGATTTATAAAAGCTGAATATGTTGTGTATTAATTTCTGCTTAAAATATGGAGGCTGTTGACATGTTATTTTCCTTTGCAGCCGGCTCCAGTAATTCCGGGTCCAGCAAAACCAAAAAATCCGTTTGATCTTAATGAAGAAAAAAGCCTAGTGACTTCCACACATGTATGCACAACATTCAATTTGATACCTCTTGTATCTTGTTCCATCTCTTTTTTGCAAATTTGCTATAGTTTATGCTCTTAGTTTTCTGTTTTTACTTGATTTTTATCAGCATTTTTTGTTTCTTATCGAGAAATTGATAAATTAGAGTTCAGATCTTTGGTAATATATTCATTTTAACCTTCGAGTATTATATTTGTGTAGTTTCCTTCCATGTCTTCATTGCAAGGAGCTCTGCCTAATGCTCCAGTACCAGGCTTGATGCATGCTTCGAGCCTTCCTACTATGTCGCAATTTGAGTCTAATGAATCCATGACGATGCCTTCACACTCGCCTTCGTTCGCAAATGCTTTCTCTCCGAGTAAATTCACTTTGTTACCTTATGTTTTCTTTCTTGGCTTCTTTTCTTGTTTTATGTCTAATATTATCATCGCAGGGGCATACATGGGGCATCAATTACCAAATAATGTGCAATTTTTAAGGTAATTATTTATCGTTCTTAGCTATCTTTTTTCTGTAACATATTATCTGGACGTAAGTTTGCTCGACATTAGCAGCCCTTGATAGCTCCACCAGTGTCGTCTTTCATATATTTTGCAGAGCATGTGCTACTAGAACACCGTCTGCTTCCTTCTCTTCTCCCTCTCTTATGTGTTTGTTATTCTCCATTTCGTCTGCAATTATGTGCTCAGTTTCTCTACTTTTCGGTCATTGTCATCATTGCAGACCACAGGGAGTTGGCGGCTTTGGCAGGGACGAAGCTGCTTTTGGATCTCTAACCACAACTCAGCAATCATTTCAGCAACCAAGCGTCAGATACCCAGCACCCAGCAGCAGCAGCAGCACCTTAGACACTTTTTCTCCAATGAGAGGAAACCCATTTGGATGATCGAAAGCTATTTCGGCCTCCAAGCATCTTCAGGAGGAAGACTGCATCCATATGGAGGGAAGTCTGCAGGAGAGAGCACCTCCAAGCATCTTGTTAAAAATCAGTTAATATGTTCTCACATCACAGTACTATTTTGTATATTATTAAAACAATAGTATATTGGAAGTAAGTGGGATGCTTCTGTTGAATTAACTGACCATTGATACGTTAAAAGCTCTGCAGTTATTAACAGTTGAATTCACTCGCACAAGTGTAGGTACCTGACCGTAATCAAATACTTGAAAATAAGAAATCATATCAATTAAGGGGAGGGGAGAGCTAGTTGATCCGATTTCCCTTTTTTGCTTTTCCTATTTCTAAGTTCTCCTATTCCTTCGTTTTTCTAATTTTTGTCACTTTTGTTCATTGGTTTTAAGGACAAACTTACTTGGATATGAATGGTTTTGCAAAGTAAGCTATATGCTCTCAATGTACATATTTTTAGGGAATAAACAAAGGCAAAACCCTATGAGCTAAACAAACCTTGATTGCCTTGTTTCTGGATCGCCTCTGCCCGAACTAAACAAAGGCAAAACCCTATGAGCAGTAGTGAATATATTCAAAGCCTTGTGCATATAAGCTGGGCATCTTCTTTACCAAAAAAAGGAGGGATATATGTCCATGGCATCTGGAAACCATGATCATAATCTTTGAATATAATCAAGGGAATAAAATGAATTAAGAATGTTTATTCATTTATATCTTGCAGCTGTGGTGGAGGCTCAATTGGTGAAACAAACAAGACTAGCTCTAGCTACCTACTTCCTTCATTTTTTCCAGTTGAAAGAAATCATAAATTATAAAACATAATTACTTACCAATCTTAAACCATCAGAAGAAGGCAAAGTTAAATGAAAAGAAAATATTACAAAAAGCAAATAAAACACATTTTCCTGCAATAGAATGACTTTCATGGCACGTGTACAACGCCGCAGTGGCATTTTGTGCTAATGATATAGTGACATACGAAAAAAGGCTTAAATATGACATTGTATCGTTAATACGGGAAGTCAATGTTACTGTTTCCCACAGTATGAAAGTTGCTCTCGTCATGCAGAATCTGCCTCACTCGCTACAAACGCAATTTCTAAACCCTGCACCATCTTCCCAACCGTGCATCTTGAAGAACAATTGCTACACCTAATAAATACAAGTCTAAAGTCCCTAAACAACTTTCTATGGATCATGCATCCATAGACATCACAGAATCAGGTTTGTCGGTGCCCAATTTTCTCAGCCAAAGAAGCAAATACACAACCATCCCAACCGCAAACCCTAGTGCTGCACTGGAACCCACCAGTGAAACTGCAGTGCAAATAAGCATCACAAAACTCTCCTCCTTTGTGTTCATATCCCTAGCACACATGGCTAGTTCAATCCCAGCAAACAAAAGCAGCACCCCCAAAACCCCAACAGGGAACTGGTTCAGAATCATCACTAAAGAGGTCCCCAAGACCAAACCCAGCACCAATTTAGCCGCACCCAGCAGAGCCACACACGCACCACTCCTCCCCCCAAACTTGTACTGCCCAGCCAACCCACCGGCTCCATGGCAGCTTGGCATGGCGCCAAACCAAGGACCCACCACGTTCATCAACCCTACCGTCACTGAAAGTGAAGTGGCTGAAAAGTCCCTCTCTGGGAAAAGATCAGATGATAATTTGCACACAGCAATCACTGAGTTCAGTATTGACAAGGGCAGTTGTGGGATTGCACCTTTTACAAACCCTTCTTTCCATGCATGCCTAGAAATCTTCACCACCTCCATGGAAGAGGGTCCAAACGTAATTTCATGCACAACCTTTGGCTTCCTCACAAAAGCCAGAATCACACCCAGCAAAAAAATCAGAAAAGCTGAAGGTAGTGAAGTTATTTTTTTCCTCCACCTTGCCTTTCTGCTGGGTCTCTCTTCCTCATCCCCACGGGGACCCATATGATCGGTATGACCATCCTGCCCTTCCTCACCTGCACCATTAACAAGCACTATAAACCCTAGACAAACAATAGCCAAAACCAACCCATCTAACCCTAACCAGTGCCTCTCTCCCAGAGCCTTAGATTTGGGGAGATTTTGGACTTTTTCTATGTATTTGACCGCGGTTAACGCAAATGACAAGCCCTGTGCCAATTGAATCCCCCTCACAACGCAGAGAGGGATCAGCTTGTACACCAACTGCATCAAACCTGTGACACCCAAAACAACCATGGTTCCACCTGTCAAAATCCCAGAAGCCATGATTTCCGGCACGCCGAAATCCGGGTTGGCTAGAGCGGTGGCGGCAATGGCCTTCATGGGCTGGACTGGCATAGGGACACCGTAAATTGCACCGGTGATAATGTTGTAGACGCCGGTGAAGATCAAGGTCGTGCCTAAGTTCAAGTCCCTCGAGAGAGTCAAGGCCACAACAATTGGAATGTATGTGCCCAAGTCACCCATTGCGCCATTTAGCTCTGCCCATTTGGACTTGAAAATCAGGTTGGATTTTACTTGTTCTGCAACTTTGGCTGAGAAACTGGGCGGAGGAGGAGGGTTTTGGCTTGGAGGGATTTGGTGGTTTTGGGGCTCCATGGAATGTGGTTTTTGTTTAATGCGAATAGTTTAGGTAGTTTGATGTATTAATATAGTATAGTTTTACATGGAGAAAAGTGATCTGTTGGCATATTGATTGTACTGTATGTCTAGGAAATCCCTATTTCTCACTCTTCTTGAAGTGTGCGGAATGTGGATCCTATAAATGGAGAAGGATTTTCTCCTCTCGTTTTTTAGCTCTCATTCCTTCCTTTTATATTTGAACGGCCACGATTAAATCACGTTAACATCTTATATTAATTTTTTTTTTATAAAAAAAAAAAACAAACTAGATAATGTGAGAGGAGGAGATAGAAAATAATGGAAAGATGAGGTGAGAGAATCCTAATTCCCTATAAATAAGGGGCGAATTTTTACTCCCTTGGGGCAAATTTTTACTCCCTTGCTTTAAGTGGTGGTAATGAGGCCATTTACCACAATTGTGGACAGAAGTATTGTCATTGCGCATATTTTACCACAATTGTGGACAGAAGTGTTGTTATTGCATTATGACATGAGTTCGAACCTCGTCGATTTTTTAATCTGTATCAAATTCTCTTCTCCTAACAACTAACTATTTGATCCCTTAACCCTATGGCTCTGCTCAAAAAAGTACAAAGCAACTCCAAAGTTTGCAAAAGTCAAAGTGTATTAATTAGCGAATGGAGATGTGGTACACGAAACTGGAAATCGATGAAGCATCAAATTGGTTGGACTTTACTAGTTGACTGGATTCTTTATCTGGGGAGGAGCTCATTTGTGGTGGATTGTATAATGTATACATATTCCTTTTCTCTCCTTTTCTTAACATCATGCGAATATATTCAGCCAAAAGGGTCACTATACTACCCACGAACTCGAAGGGTCACTCACTCTGCGCAAGGGCCAAACGATTCAGAACTCAAATGGGGTCGTTTTGAGAGCTGATATGACCTTTCAACATCCTAGACGCCGACGTTAACGTAAACGTCCGATTATAATTATTTTTAATAAAGTATAGGGAAAATTTAAAATAGGTCTAATTTTATAGGTTACCTTTTGAAATAGGTTCAATTTTTACTTACTTTGACCTATTTCAAAAAAGTAAACGTTCGATTATGAGTTATTTCCTATTAAATTTTGGAGCTGAATGGACCAAGCTACGAATGGAATATTCTTAGATCTACACAAGCAGAAAGAAGGGAATCTTATAGATGTACATTAAGAGATCAAGCCTATCTGCCCCGCAAAAAAGGCACATCAACAACATTAAGAAAATAAGTCCTACCCTCTCGCTATAAAGGGAGTCATGACTCATGAAGGACCAATATATATGAGCAAGTAAGAGTTTGCTGTTATAAATAGACAAAAGTTAAAGAAATAATCTTTGCTAGGGACATGAGTGAAGCGGGTGCAAAATATCACAATATAACTTTAGTAGCTATAACACAAAAAGGATGGTAGATAAAGAGAGGGTGGGAGAGATACTAATATTATTTTTTTAGTTCTTTCTTTCGCAACGTGTATTTTGATAACACATGAAGTGCTCTATTATAGAGCCACATCCGTGATATACAAATGAGGGAAATCATTGCTCCTTTTGACAATATCACACCTCCACTATTAATTCACTATTCTAAAGTCTTCTCATCTTTTGCCAAATGCAAGTGGCCATTCATCCCACTAATTTTACAACATTTGCATGTTTTACTTTGTTTTTGTTGATGAATGATGATGCCTTATTTTAGGGAAACTATTAAAAATGACTTCAAAACTTTAAATTTTAATAAATAAAAAAAAACATTCAAATAACTTTATTTAATGGTTAGGACAAAAAACTAAACGAAGTTCTAACAAGATACCTTGCACGAGTCCCATGAACCCAGCCCATGTACATGCACTAGTCATCCTACTCTCGCTTGAGGTAAGATGAGAGGAAATCCATGTAGGAGTCGTCGCAATTGAAGATAAGATGAGAGAAAATCGGTTAAGGTGATTTGGACATGATAAACGAATAACTATCGATGCTCCAGTTAGAAGATGTGATTATGAGGCAGAGACTCAGGGAAAAAGAGATAGAGGAAGACCTAGGAAGATTTGAAAAAAGACTCAAAGGAAAAACATAGAGTACTTGGAGTTTACGGAAGACTTTGCGCAAAACTGAGTAGAGTGACGTTCTAGGATTCATACAACCGACTCCACTTAGTAAGATAAAGCTTTGTTGTTATTGTTGTAACAAAACTAAATATGATTATGGTATATAAGTTTTCTTTCAAAATTTAGTCACTTTGGGCAATGATAGTACTAACCCAACTGTTCATCTATACCCGGCATTTTTCAATATGCAATAAAGTTTATCTATTGACAAAAAAAAGAAGTACATCACCGACATTAATAAAAGAAGCAAGCGACCCTCTACTACAGAGATGTAGATGAGTGTTGTCCTTACACCATCACGTAAGCTTCTCTCCCCGGCATTTTCCAAAATAGCACTAACATTTAGGACTTGGATAGTCTGCGAATCTTATGGGCCAACGTGTTTCCTTGGGCTGGACCCAATTTGCTAGCCCAACAAGCAAAGGAAATAGAGGTAGGAAAACTGAGGTCTAACAGCTTTGTCTGATCTCTGATAATTGATCCCAGAAAGCAAAAGCTCCACTCCGCTGAAAAACATGGAAGACCTTGAATCACTCTCCTCCCATGGCTTCCCATTCGAATGCAGACCCTAGAGGTAAATTACCCTCTTCATATTTACTACTTTTACTTTAGATTCAATTGCTTTTATTCCCCTCCCGGATTTTTCACTTCTGTAAGCTGTAACTTTTTGCATTTTACCTGCTGCTCTCTGGTTTTCCTCTTTCTAAAGCTGCCCAGTTTGCTTCTTTTCGTTTTGAGTAAAGTTTAAACTTTCAAAATTATTACTTGCAGAGTAAAAGTTTCAGAATTTACATTTTTTGAGCTAGTTGGAGAAGCATGAAGGGCCATGAACACAAGGTAAATTTTTGTTAAACAGCTTTTACTCTTTCAGTCTTTGAAGTTCTTATTGTGCTTTTGGATTCAATTATAAGCACTTTTAGATGGTAATCTCAAGTAGCTTTAAAATTTCTTAGCTTTGCTGTTTTGCATGTTTAGATTGAGTAAAGAGGCAGCATATGAGATTGGGAGTATTGGAATTTGGAAACCAACACAAACCAGTTATTTAAAACTCTTAGGTTGAATTTTGTGCTGCATAAGATATTAAAATTAGAAGAATTATGATTTGGGTTTTCATTTTATTACACAGATGGCAAGAATGGAGGACATTCTAAACCTTCCGGTACAAGATCCTCCATGTGCCGAGTTTTCTGCTACTCATATCAAGTGGGTGAAAGTAGAAGGCGGTCGCCAAGGCGGCGATGATATTGCCCTAATCCCATTTGCTAGGGTGGGTGATTTTGTAAAAGGAGAATCTTCAAATGCCGAATGCCCTGCCAGCTTCCGCGTCGAGTCAAGAAGGAAGAGACCTGAGGGGAGCATCAGCAAGCCAAGGGTTGACGGTTATCTTGAATATACACTGTATGTTGTTTCTGTACTTTGTTATTGTTGTCTTGTTTATTGGAGTTCACTGTTCCTTTAACCGTGTTGAAAATGGCCGCTTGATTTGCTGCACTAATATCTGCGTAGTTGCGAACAGCTTGTACAACACTTGCAAAATTAGGAATTCATTTCAAATTTAAAATCATTAGTTATAACTTTCAGAAAATTGATATTCAGGATTTTTTTTTTTTTTTTTGAGTGCAATATTCAGGAACATTAACTATTGAATCCACTGCAAACATAGGTAGCTGCAACCGTATACCATTAAATTAAAAGCATTAAGTGATTATCAACATAAACCTAAGACATGTAATTTTGTATATGGTGATTCATCAGATACTGGTGTTCATATGGTCCTGAAGACTACCGAGAGAATGAATCTGGTCTGGTGGATGGTTCTAGTACAAAGCCAGCATCCGGAAAGGGAAGCAGGCCTGGAAGGCGTCACATGATGAGAGGCTGCCTATGCCATTTCACTGTAAAGCGCTTATATACCCGGCCACTCCTTGCTCTCATCATCTATAACCAGAGAAATCATGTAGATAAGTCAGGATCTCCGTGCCATGGTATACTTGATCAGGATGCTATGGGAACGAGAGCCATGTATGCTCCACGAATATCAGAGGAGCAACGCCAGAAAGTGATGTCTATGCTTTATGTTGGAATTCCTTTAGACAATATAATTCAGCATCACATGGAGCTGGTCCAGGGGCATGGTGGACCTCATAACCGTGATGATTTTCTAAGTCGCAACGATGTTCGAAACATGGAAAGGGGGATTCGTAATTCTTCTCCTCAGTTACATCCAGATGATGGATGCAGTATAAAGATGTGGGTTCAACGCCATCGCAAGCATGTTTTCTATTTTCAAGATAGCTCTGGTTCGGAGCCATTTGTTTTAGGGATACAGACAGATTGGCAGCAGCAACAGATGCTCCAGTATGGACATAATAATTACGTAGCTGTCCATTCAACATTTGGCTTAAAGAAACTTAAGGTATCCTGATTTATAGTTACTTGCATGTGATCCTTTTCTTTCATGTTGTTAGCTGTCATGCATATAATTGATGACATAATACCTTATTTTTTACCCCTGCTATTAGATGTCATATCCTTATTGTGATTTTTGGCCCCTCTTAACAGTATCCGCTGTGTACATTACTTGTTTTCAACCCATCTCGGAATGCCATACCAGTTGCTTGGATCATTACCTCCTCTTTCATCAGTCAAGATATCCACAAGTGGATTGGGCCACTGGCTGAAAGAATCCGAACCAAGGACCCAGGATGGAGACCCGATTCCTTTTTAGTGGATGATCCTTCCTTTGAGATTTCTATATTAAGGTAATATCACTAGTTTTTTTTTTTTTTTGGGGGGGGGGGGTTGGGGTGGGGTGTGTGGAGTCGGTTGCAGGTTTCTCATAGAGTTTGTTTTTACATTGAACTGAATTTACACTGGGATTATTTTCTTTATTCCAGGGACGCTTTCCAATGCCGGGTCTTATTATGTATCTGGCATGCTCGGCATTCTTGGATAAGACGGATTTTAAAGACATGCTGCAACTTTGATGTGCAGCGAGAGGTATTTAAGCAGTTAGGCTGGCTTTTGTACAGCACAAGGAGCGGGTCGAATGCCATGGATGCAGTTGAGGAGTTTGTGCAAGTATTTGTTGATCAATGTGCCTTTATGGATTATTTTAAGAGGCGATGGTTACCAAATTTAGGTATTTTCCTTGCTGTGCCTGATCTTTATGCATAAAAGAAAACATCTTTGCTCTTACTCAGGAGTCAGGCCCAAGTACGTGTTTTCTGTCAAACGGGCAATGCTGTCTGAGACTGCTGGATTTTGTGTTTCAACTATCTTTGATATAATTTTTTATGCTTTGCATTTTACACGGCTGGTTTCAAACCCAGTGAGAGGACGGTATTGTGGCCTGTTAGGTAGTTGACACGTGAAGTATAAACTCTGTGGTCACATGAATACTGAAATGTGATAAGGTCACAAAATGAAATTGATGTAATAGATATTGTGACCAATAACCATTACAATGGCCCTTTCGAATATTTTAAGCTATCATGTTGTTATCCCAAACATTGAATTTGTATATGCTCTTGCTGTCCAGAGTTGTGGGTGAATTGCATAAGGTCTCTTCCTGTGGCCAGTCCAGAGCCAAATGCTGCAATTGAGTCCTATCATGCGAGGTTGAAATCCAAGCTTTTCAATGAACAATATGCGAATTCCTGGTTGAGAGTCGACTGGTTGATACACACACTCACAACTGAATTTCACTCTTCGTATTGGTTAGACCAATATAGCACGGAGACCGGGTATTTTGAAAATTTGAGGGACAAATCTTTTTCAACGAATGCTTGGTATCAGGCACTGCAGATCCTAGATGTTGATGTCATACTAGATGAGCAAAATCTTCAGTATGCAAAGGTCATCTCACAAACGGACAGAAGCCTGGCATACACTATCTGGAACCCTGGTTCGGAATTCTCATTCTGTGATTGCCCTTCGTCAAGGCTGGGAAATCTCTGTAAGCATGTCATCAAGGTAGCAATCTCATGTAAAGATCGGCAGGTTGCAAGACCATTATTGGCAGCTCAAGTTTATCGGCAGGCCTTGCTTACTCTTCTTCAAAATATCCCAGATGATCCTCTAGTTCTTGATCATGCCATTTTACATGCGACCCGTTTGCAACAGGACATTAAAGCCTTGGAAGTATTGTCTAATAGTGGTTTGCTCCAGCCTTTAACTTCAGAGATTAATTCACATGTAACAGACAATGTACTTTTTCCTCATCTTGATTGATTAGGCCATCAAAATTGAGATGCTCACATGCATGATGCTTTGAAGTAATGGTCTTCGATATGGCTCATGGTAAGACTCAAAGTACAGTTCACGCTTTTTGCCTCAGTGAGCTTTGAAATTCTTTGGCATTCGTGCTTCTCATTTCTGCTATCAGTTTTGTTCATTTGTCATCTGCTTTTTGAGATTAAGGAGGAAAACAATTTTTTTTTTTTAAATTTAGCTTTTCAAGTATTGAGCCTTTCTCACTGGAGTTTGATTTTTCAATTGTTATTTAGATTATCCGTTCTATTTTTCCTTTCTTAAATGAAAATGAAGATTGGTGACTTTCTTCTGCCTGCAGCAAAGATGGAACAAAGATTCTATGGTTGCTTGTTCTGATTCATGAATATTGAAGCAGAGCAATGCACACGGTAATATTGAGACCTAACTTTTCCTAAAGATTTGTAAGCATTTTCAATCCAATATCCATCATTGCATAATACATTTAGATTGAAATATAAGTAAAAGAAAGCTCTTAATATAATGGAATTATGAATCTAGAGATCTCTTTAATTACATTCCAAGTAGCCTAGTACTACATATTCCAACTTATTATCTACTTAAAAAAAACAATCCATAACAACTTGAAAAAGATAAAATAAGAAGAAAAAAGAATAACCCTCCGTGTGCATTGTCTCCTTGTTCTTCTCGTGTTCACCTTCACCATGTAACTTGATAGTCGATGGCATTCTTTTGTGTTGCAGTGGTAGAGATAAAGACTTGGCAATTATTTCAAAAGTTGAAATGCTTTTCAGAGTTGTGGGAGTTTACTCACTATAGTCTATTGGTCTCTAAGCTGTCTGGAAGGTGGAGAAGAAATGGAAGGAATCACTAATAATACGGTGGTGGTGGAGGTGAAGGGTAATTTAACAGGCCATCATTTGCCGGAGTTGGTGGTGAAGGTGAAGGCGAAGGCGGAGAAAATGACACACATGGTGGTGGGGATGGAGGAGGCGGAGAAGTTAGCACACATGGTGGTGGCAATGGAGGTGAAGGAGGTGAAGGAAGTGGTGAAGGCGGCGAAGGATGAGAATGTGGTGTTGGCGGGGGAGAATGTAGTGGTGGTGGGGGAGAAGGTAATGGAGGTGGTGGTAAATTCTGATGAGGGCATGGTGGAGGGGTTGGTGGTGAGGGAAGGCAAGGAGGTGAGGATGGTGGAGGTGGAGGTGGAGGAAGAGGAGGATGAGGCTGTGGTGGTGATGGTGATGGCGGCTGGAGTGATGGAGATGGCGGAGGTAGTGGTGGTGATGGTGGATGCAATGGTGGGGATGGTGATGGAGGCGGAGGTGATGTTAATGGCGGTGAAAGTGGAGGAGATGGCGGGGGAGGCGATGGAGATGGTGGAGGAGGCGATGGAGATGGCGGAGGATGCGGTGGTGGTGATGGTGGAGGCGGTGATGGTAATGGTGACGGAGGCGGACGTGATGGCAGAGGTGGTGGCGGTGATGATGGTGATGGTGGAGGCGGTGGTGGTGATGGTGATGGTGGAGGCGGACGTGATGGCAGAGGTGGTGGCGGTGATGATGGAGGTGGTGGTGGTGATGGTGGAGGTGGTGATGGTGGAGGCGGTGATGGTGGAGGTGGTGATGGTGATGGAGGTTTAGGTGATGGCAAAGGCGTTGGTGGAGATGGTGGAGGCGGTGGTGAAGGTAGTGGATGCAATGGTGGTGATGGTCGAGGCAAAGGTGATGGAGGTGGAGGCGATGGAGATGGTGGAGGCGGTGGTGGAGGTAGTGGATGCAATGGTGGTGATGGTCGAGGTGAAGGTGATGGAGGTGGATGCGGTCGTGGTGATGGTGTAGGCGGTGATGGTGATGGTGGAGGCAGTGGTGGTGATGGTGGCGAAGGAGGAACAAAAGGATGACATCCAAAAGAACTACAATCAACTTTCTTAGACAAAGCCAATTTGCATTGCAACAAGGTTCTCTGCTTTGGCCTTTTCCGCAAGCAATTCTTGCTGTCGTCAAACTCCTCCAACTTCAAACACATTGGTGGCTCGACAGTGAAAAGGTTGTGCTCAAAGCTAAATTTTGCCAGATTCTGAAGTTCACAAACACCTTCTGGTATAGTCCCTCTAAGCATGTTATGAGCCACATTCAGCTGCTCCAAGCTTTCCATTTCAACTATTTCCTTCGGCAACTCTCCCACAAACCGATTATGGCTCACATCAAACACTGTCACTTTCTTTAGCATCCCTATCTCCCTTGGCAAACACGAGTGGAACCCATTGTTAGTGAGCACCAATTCATTTAAATTCTTGGACATCTTGCCGAGGCTGGCCGGTACACATCCATGGAAGTTATTGTTAGCAAGAACAATAACTGAGACCGGCGAGTTCCCAAAATTATTTGGCAATTCAAAGGAAAATCTGTTGTGGTTGATGAAGATTGCATCAAGGTCCTTATCAAACAGTTCCTTGGGGATTTCACCTTCAAACTCATTGAATCGCAGGTCCAGAAATTTTAGTGCTGGCAGCTGAAGAACAACATCAGGAAATTCCCCAGCAAAGCGGTTGTTGCTTAGATCAAGCTCGAAAAGGAGCTGCAACTTTTTGAAACTCTTTGGGACTTTGCCACAGAAACGATTTGAGTTGATGTGAAACAATGCAATATCCGAGAGAAGACCAAGTTCTTCCGGGAGAAACCCTGCAATGTCAGCATGGTTTAGATCAATCCCGGCAACAGTTTGGACTGACGGGTCATCTGGGGCTTGGGCGCAGAAGACTCCAGTGTATTTGCACACATCGGATCCAACCCAGTTTGATATTTGATCCCGAGGATCAGAGACCATGGCTTGCTTCCATGCTTGGAGGGCAATGTAGGCACTTCTGAGTCTTGAGTTTTCAAAAACAAGGGAGTCTGGGACTGTCACAGTTTCACCTCGTGACCCATCTTGGTCAATGTAATACAAGAGCTGCCTTTGCTTGTAATGTGACGTCCGCAACGAGTCTCTCAGGCCGGCATTGTGCGAAATCTGAAGCTCTTCGCCAGCGGCAGCACCGAGGAAAAAGATCGGTACGAGGAAAATGGAGAGTACAAAAATGTGAATGTTTCTTCTCTTCATCACATGCAAGAGATTACATCTAATGGGTTCAATTTCTCTGTGCTAGCTTTCTCTGCAGGTATCAGAGAAAGAGAGGGGTTTGGAGGTGGAAAACTGATCAAATTCTCCAGGGTAAAAGTAAAAAAAGCTCAGTGCCACTGAATAGGTTAATCTTCAGTTTTCACTGTACTCCAAGTGTACGAGGAGTAGCAGATAGGGGTAAAAAAACTAGATTTACTGGAAGTGATGAGCGCATGTGTTTATTACATCTGTGTGAAACTGGATCAGTCCAAACATAGACACCGTTAATTTGGGGTGGTTTCCCATTTTAACGCTCATCTTGGACTTGATCAAGTTTTTGACACCAATTTAGGGGGCTAAGCTGGGTGTGTTGTAATGATACGATAATTTTAGGAGGATTTGTAGTGAGGAAACATAATTAAGAGTTTGAGCTAAGCTAATGACTGTTGTTTATGATTGTAGATAACTTTTAACCGTTGATGCATACGAGTCTCATGATGAACCTATTAACAGTCAATAACGTGTGTTTCGACCTAGATAACGTGTGTTTCAACCTAGATAACGCGTATTAGACCTAGATGCTTAACAGTTGACACTTGCATCACATTCAAACGCAACTTTCAACCGTATGTGCAAATGAGTCTCAAAGATACTCGATTACGTCTGTATGATTTTGTATATACATTAATGGTTGGCAATCGACGTGCCATTGTAGATGTATGGGTCTCGGAACAACATTAATAGTGTGATCATGCATGTCAAACTTATATATATTTAGCTAACAATCATTCACGCGCACATATATAAGCTTCAGCGTTACAAAAGTGAAAAGTGAGAATTGAAGGATTCATGCATTGCAAAATGCAAGGATCAATACACCTATCCAATCAGGCTGCTTTTAAAAAAAGGTTAAAAGTGTTTTAAACGATGAGGATTCTCTCTGGATCCTCTTTGCTAAGGATCCTCACATCTTAGTCGTTCATTGTACATCGTACAGCCATTTTTTGTTAGGTAATATTTGTGTTTAATTTCAGCCAATTTTTGTTAGGTACTATTTTTGTTTAATTTTAAATAAAAAGCATTTTAATTTTTTTATAAATAAAATGTCAAACATGTTTCTAATAAAAACACTTCTAATGAGGCGTTAACAGATCGAGGGCGAGAAAGTCTATTCGACTACAATCCCATAGTCGCTATGTCATCCTCTTTAACTCTTTCAGGTTTTCTAAAAGAGATTTATCACTGTGCCAAGAACAATGCCCAATACAATAAGTGCCATAATACTTTGACAAAGAAAAGTGTCATAATACAAGTGATAGATAAATTTAAAAAAAAAAAAAAATACTACTTATACTATGACAAGTGTACCAAATTGTATTCTCGACATACTCAAAACTTTCTCGTTTGGGACAATAGTAAGAAACAAGGAAACGGGGTAGGTAGAATGTGATTGTGAAGAAGGGTAGAGTTTTTCACTTTTTACCATGACAACAATCTGGTTATCGGTGCCTGCGTAGTGTCTATTATGTATTCAAGATACCGAGGCACATGTATCTCAATGATTCTAATTGGCATAAGCACTTTACATTATAAGACGCGACATTGCGAAAGTAAGAGGTCATTAATTCAAATCTTATCGTTTTTAAGATTTCTCAAAACGGGGTATTTTTTGTTCTCCTGTTTGTTGTCATGCAAGCTAGGAGCGCATTGTTAGAAGTGGAACAAGGGAAACTCTATATATAAAGCCAATAGAAAAGGTGAACAGTGTTTTTGGTGTCACCAAGTTTCAATAAAAATATTTGGACAAAAATACCCCCAAGACAAAAAACTTCAAAGGCATCCCAAAATAATGCATCAAATAAGGCATGAGCATTTTCATCATTTTAACAGTATTTTTTTAATAATTAATTTTTGGGTAAAGTTTTTTTTTATTATTATAATT